TATTAACTCCACAGCCCCATGAGGTGTGTGGATACTATTATTAACCCTATTTTACAGATGAGGAAGTGAGGCACAGAGAGGTTAAGTCATTTGCCCAAGGTCACGGAACTAGTAGGTGATGGAGTCAGGATTAGATCCCAGGCAGTCTGGGTCCAAAGTCCACACTGTCCACCACTATCTTGTATGACCATTAGGAAGACATGTTCCCTGAGGTTAAAGAATTTATAATCTAATGAGAAAGGCCAGTTCATCCATCTGATTTTAGTACACTGTGCCGTGGTGCCAAAGAAGCACAGGCAAGGACTCCAGGAGCTCAAAGAGGGAGCGATTGGGTCCACCTATGGTGAGGGAGGGGGAAAGAATAATATCTTATATTGACTGAAAGTCGACTAAGTCTCAACACTGTTGAGCACATTAAAAGCATTTCCTCATGTAACCACCTACCAACCTAATTTTACAGATGAGAAAATTGGGGCTTAAAGTTAAGTAACATGTAACCTTATCAGGGTTAATCTAGGTGTTTTGAAGATTGAATAGGATTTGCGCTAGATATCTAGGTTCTAGACCTTAGGGGAAAGGTTTCTCAGGGCCACAGCCCAGCATAAGCAGAGGCAGGAGAGCTTTGGTGGATTTTAAAACCCATCTTCATATAAGCATATTTAAATTCTGTATTTTGTCAATTGTATGATGCTCCATTTAACTATCTTTTGGTACTTTTGGAATAAAAGGAAACTACTTTAAGTGTGTTTGTTTTGTTTTGTTTTACTAACCAACAAGAGCATAGACATATCTGTGCAATACCATGCCTTGGCATTAGTCTGGGCAGTGGTCCTCAAACTTTACCATGCATCACAGTCATCTGGAGATCTTATAAATGTAGGTCACCAAGCACAGCCCCAGGGATTCTGATTCTGTGGTTCTAGGGAGGAGCTGGAAGTCTAAATTTTAGCAAGCCCCTTATTTGATTCTAATGCAAGATCATACTTTAAGAATCAGTGGTCTCTAGGTCCTTCTGAGTCACATTTTTCTTTAACAGGCAGTCTAAATAACATATTATTGAAAGTTAGATCAGCTAGGATTTTGGTAGAAGAGTAATTGGTGCCTGAGTTCTTTGAGATATAAGAATTATGTTCTTTGTGAATAAGTATTCATTCTTAAAAAGGAAGGAAATTCTGGCACATAGTGCAACATGGATGAACCTTGAAGATGTCATGCTAAGTGAAATAAGCCAGTCACAAAAGCACAAATTCTGTATGATTCCACTTATATGAAGTACCTAGAGTAGTCAAAATCATAGAAACAGAAGTAGTTCTGTCTTGCTCTGATTGCCAGGGGCTGGGGAGAGGAGGGGATAGACAATTATTGTTTAATGGGTTCAGAGTTTCAGTTGGGGAAGATGAAAAATTCTGGGGATAGATGGTGGTGATGGTTGCACAACAATATGAATGTATTGCTACTGAACTATACACTTAAAATTATTAAAATGGTAAAATAATAATAATAATAACTGGATGTATGGGAAAAAACATTGAGCGAACCAGCCTCTCACAGCTTTGATAATCTTCTGTCTTGAGACACTGGGTGATTTCTTCTCCTTTGATTACATTGCCTGATGTGTGACAAGTAGTTCTTTTACACCTGCTCAATGACAAAGTAAGCACAGCTCTACCTACCTGTTCTTTGTCCACTTTATTAAGCTCTCACTGTTGCTTTAAAGCACGAAAGTGCACACACGCAGCCACTCCTCCGATAGTAAGTATTGGCATCACTTGTAGTAAATGTACAGCTGGCAGCTGTGTTCCCATTAATTTTTATCTCACTATAGCATTAGAATGGAATCTTTTAAAAAGATATTTAAGTTAACTTTTAGTAACCCAAATTTAAGTTAAACTTTAAATACATGAGTTCCTACCAAGGTCAACCACTCAGCCCAGGCAGCTCCAGGAGAAAGAGATGCCGAGTGTGCATGGCTGACTTGGTACTAGCACAGGTGATGATGGCCGTGTTTCAGCTTCTCTGCCTGGGGGTGGTGAGTTTCTTTTGGCACTGACAATAGGAGGCATTCAGAGATATTAAAATGTGGGAAAATTTTGTTTACCAGTCATGGTTCTTGGTAGCAAACCAAAGAAGCTGATTCTGGCTAATTTAAGCAGGAATTCTTTGGAGGATCAGGTCATTCACACAATTAATAGGAAGGTTGGAGAATGAGGCTCAGAAAAGTGTTGGGAAGTCACCACGAATGGACTCTCAACTCAGCCCCCACCACCACAAATTCTTATTTTCCCTGTATCTTCGCATCATTCCCTTAAGGTTCAACACTCCACTCTGGTTGAAGGAGATGAACGTCTAAGTTTAGATCACCTACCTGTACCCCACCCTGCTAAGGAATGGGGCAAGGGACTATCTGCCGCACCTTCAGCTTCTATGGCCCATGAGGGCCATCCTCCCTAAACAGAAAGGGTCTTCAGCAAAGAGCAACTCATGCCCACTCCAGTGTGCACCCCAGTTTCTTTAATCTGTTTCCGAACCTTTAGCTACCCTGTTCTTGTCACAAGTGAGACCAAAAGAGCGTGGTTGGGTCAGAGTAATAAGTCAATCATCCTTATTGGAAAAGCAAGTCCCCAGGCAGGTCCTCCGTGGGTGGTTCCAAAGCATCTTCCCAGCAACTAGGAACATCGAGTTCATTCATCTAAGGATCTACAACCTGCAGTCTGTGATCTGGGGCTGTCTGGTACACAAATCAGTCTCAAATGACAGTAGCACTTACTGTTACTTTGGGAGGTAGTTTGTTCTGGCCTTGCAGGGACAAAACTCAGAGTGAAATCTTGACTTTAAATCTTATATACTATGTGACCCATTCAATAGGTCTTTGATTTTCCTCTGAGCTAAACCAGCTGCAGATACTGATGAAAGTAAACTCTGGCCCACATTCTGAGAACTACCTTTATCCTCCTTGTGCACAGTGAAACAGAATAGAGAAGTGAAAAGCATGAACTGGAAGTATGCATGCATGGTGGCATAAACACCACATTTAGGGCAGTGGTTTCCCCTGGGGAGGGAGGGAGGAAAGGGCTCTGGGAGGAGACCACAGGGGACTTCAGCATTTCTCAATGTTTTGTTTTCTTTATTAAAAATGTATCCGGATCCAGCTTGTTCTTTCAACTACTCCTCTCCCCTGTTCTTCAAATGCATGGAAACTTTAGTCTGTGGACCCCCTTTATTTTTGTCTAATAGATCATTCTCTAGATAATTCTCATCTACCTTAGATCCCACACTCCCTCCATCCACAAAGCCAACCACTATCCTACAATTGATGTTAACGTTTTTGTATTTGTGCTATATCCATAGATTGTTCAGTTTCAATGTATTTTAAATTTTTCATGAATGTTATCAAGCTGTACATATCCTTTTGAAACTGATTTTTAAACACCAAGTATAAGGTTCATATACCAGCCACCAGCCAAAAAAACAAAAAAAAGAAACTGACTTTTTACTCAATTTTCAGGGGGACATTTACCTTTGTTGACATGCAAAGACCTAGTTCATTCTCATGACTGTATGGTATTTTATCTAAATAAGCTACATTTGATTTTTAAAAACATCTGAAGAAAACAAGGCGAAGTGTCAAAATTTATTAAGTTAGTGTTAGGTACATCAGCATTCTTTTTTTTTTTTTTTAAAGATGACCGGTAAGGGGATCTTAACCCTTGACTTGGTGTTGTCAGCACCACGCTCACCCAGTGAGCTAACTGGCCATCCCTATATGGGATCTGAACCTGTGGCCTTGGTGTTATCAGCACCACACTCTCCCGAGTGAGCCACGGGCCGGCCCCAGCATTCATTATTTATTCTCTAGACTTGTATATGTGTTTGAAAGTTTTCAGAATCTGAAAGTAGAGGGGCGACCACTAGAGTGGGAGTCATGGAAGTTGACATCTCAGCACTAGCTGGGCTAGACTGAGACCTGATTCTACAGCTGATCAGACTGAAATTAAAAATAAACTTTGTGGGATTGGCCCACTCTTGTTTGCTTTTCATGGGAATCTGCCTCCTGGGGGAAATGCCTGAAAGTCTTGACCTCAGGCTGAAGAGTGTTTATTTAGCTGTATGATTTGGAGTGTTCTGGTAGGTGGCCAAAGCAAGCCAAACAATTTGTTGTGGGCCTGGCCATTTTAAAAAAAGAAATTGGCAAGAAATCATTTCACAGAATGGCTGTGATTCACAATTTTTAAAAATATTTATAACATACTTAAGCTATAAATAGTCCAAATGATAAATATTGGTCACAACTTTGGCCAGGTCAACCTTTGACCTCCTCAACACTCTACAAACTTGGGGTAAGAGAAGGCAATTCTTCTTCTGCTTACTGGACACCCTGTGAGACTTAGTGGCAGGTTCTCTTCCTTCTCCATCTCTGGTGCTTTCAGAAAAGTGAGACTTTGAAAGAAGGGAGAGCTTTTGGGCCAGCCCAGTGGCGCACTGCTACAGTGCGCCGCTTGGGAAGCGCGGCGGCGCTCCCGCCGAGGGTTCGAATCCCACATACAGACCGGCCGCTCACTGGCTGAGCGAGGAGCGGGGGCAACACCGAGGGTTGCGATCCTGTTGCCGGTCCCAGTCCGGTACGGGCGCGACACTGAGGGTTGCGATCCGTTGCCAGTCACGAAAAAGGACAAAAAGACAAAAAAAAAAAAAAAAAGAAAGAAGGGAGAGCTTTTGACCCAAGGCCTGTGGTTTTACAGAGCCATAGGTCATTTTGCCATTAATCAATTTTGCCATGGATCAAAAGGACTGTACCAGGTGAAATAAGAGACTCCTGAGAAGCAAATGAAATTACAGATGTGGAAGTTAGCAATGCTCAAAGTGACCACAAGCATCATTCTATTCCCTCCTCCCAGGGAAGGGCTCCCCAGATTCCCAGCATTTACCAGATGCATCCAGCCCAGCGTGGCCCACTTGAAATGATCCGATGCCCCCACTGACATGTCCTGCTTTTCACCCAGGATATGACTTCTGCCAGGTCCTACAGTGGTTTGCTGAGAGGGTCGACAGAATCATCCTGCTCTTCGATGCCCACAAACTGGATATCTCAGACGAGTTCTCGGAGGCCATCAAGGCCTTCCGGGGCCAGGATGACAAGATCCGCGTGGTGCTGAACAAGGCCGACCAAGTGGACACGCAGCAGCTGATGCGGGTCTACGGGGCCCTCATGTGGTCCCTGGGCAAGGTCATCAACACACCCGAGGTGCTGCGCGTCTACATTGGCTCCTTCTGGGCACAGCCCCTGCAGAACACGGACAACCGCCGGCTCTTTGAGGCCGAGGCCCAGGACCTCTTCAGAGACATCCAGAGCCTTCCCCAGAAGGCGGCGGTGCGCAAACTCAACGACCTCATCAAGCGAGCGAGGCTGGCCAAGGTAAACTGGGAGGTGCCCTGGGTGGCAGCCCTGGGCCACAAGCTGTGCTTTCTCCTTTGCCGAGGGAAGGTGGGTGGGGCAGGCTCCATTCCAGAAGCCTTAAGGAGTGGAACAGAGATAGGTTAAAAATACAGCTTCAAGATCAGCCAGCCCTGTTTCCATTCCAGCTCCTGACTCTGTGCTCTCAGGCAAATGGCTTAACCTTTCCAAACCTGTTTTCTAATCTGTAAAATGGAGTTAATAAGAGTACTTCATAGGCCACTTATGAGGTTACAGTGTGACAAAGCATGTGGCCTTGTGCCTGGTGCATAGGGAGGGATCAAGTCAACGCACTTGCTGTGTGGAAGCTGTTACGATGTTAGGACCCTGGAATATAACCAGTGGACCTGAGAGAGGTGGTGTTGGTGGGACCAACAGGGTGCTAAGAAGCCACCAGTAGTCACCACGTACTTAAGGCAGAGAACCCAGTGTCACTTCCTGGACCCAGAGGAGTCCTAGAGGGAAGGTTGGTTCAGCCTATCCTGCAGAGTGTGTTGGTGTAGGGTTGTGCCCTGTCCCCACTCTGGGTTGTAGCCTGTGAGTGTGCACACTGTGGCTCCTGGCTCCTCCACCTCGTAGCTCAGCCTTTCAGCAGCCCCAGGAATGTGTGCCAACGGGGTGAGTGGTAGTCTGCTGACCTTTCTCATGTAGCAGAATCAATTCAGTCACATCCCTGAAGAGAGGAAAGCACATCACTCCTACAAGAGACAGTACAGGGAAAAAATGTTTCCTGAAAAAATATGTGTACATTTCATGAAATCATTGTCCAATAATGCTGGAAGAGCCTCCAGAGTTGACTTAGTCCCGGTGAAGTTCAAACCTGGCTGATCATCAGAAGCACCCGGGAGCTTTCACCAGTGTAAATTCCCAGGCCTTGGCCTGGAGCTTCTGATTCAGAGGTGTGTGTACACACGTGTCCATGTGTGTCCACATGTGCATGTGTGTTCATGCACACGTGTGTGTGTGTGGTATAAATATCCCCAGGTGATTCTGATGATCAGAATCAACTTTGGGGACCAGAAGTCTGTGCTGACTTCCTAACTTTTTGTACACACGTGTCCATGTGTGTCCACATGTGCATGTGTGTTCATGCACACGTGTGTGTGTGAGGTATAAATATCCCCAGGTGATTCTGATGATCAGAATCAACTTTGGGGACCAGAAGTCTGTGCTGACTTCCTAACTTTATAAGAACAAGGTTAGGATATGTGATTTCTTCAGGGTCACCTAATCCATTTGTAACAAAGCCAGGCCTAAAATCAGGCCTCCTGGCTTTCATTCCAGCTTTCTGCTTTGGACCTCATCACTTCAAGTAACACCAGTCCACAGGCCTGCATCTCCAGATCCACTGGTTCTTGGTCAGGAAGTGAGGTCAGCTCACCTTCCCTTCTAGCTGCAAAGAGCCCATATCCCCTCCCACATTCCTCTTGCTTCACGGGGAGTGGTTTCTGGTCTGCCTTCTGGAGTCCATCACCACTTTGCCTCATGCAGTCCACGTACTCAGCACCCCCAGGCCTGGTGGAAATGGGAGGTTCCCAACCACCTCGTTACAGAATGATGAGCTGTGTGCTGACTGAAGTGTGGATACTGCCAAAAGTGCTCTGAGGAGGGTGACTAAGTGCCAGGAGAAGAGAAGGAGGGCGTCACTGAAGTGACAGCTGAGAGGGGACAAGCCTTCCAACTTCTCCTCCTAGTTGCCTCTCAGCGGCCTCTGTCTTCATGCCAGTGTGCTGACACAGCAGCATCCCTCCTAGGGCAATAGAAGCACCTCGCTGGCTACCACTGCCCACACACAGTCCCTCGATCTCCTGCCTTCCCCTCTACTCACCTTACGCCCTGGTGCACGCACACGCATTCCTCCCGTATCGCCCCACTAACTTGCAGTCAATGGTGCTTGTGTTCTTTCTTCCCAGTGCAAGCTGCTTCCTTTCTAACTAGTTTGTAAATCTACTTATTTGCAGCTCTCCTGAAATGATTTCTCCCTCACACTTGTCCTGGGCCTAATACTTGGTGGCAGGAAGTCTGTTCCTGTCCATTCAGTGACCCATTGGCATGTGGTATTTCTCTTCTCCAGCTGGTGCAGCTGAACTTAACCTTCAGTGTGCATGACATCTACATTATTTTATAACCAAAGCTGGTAACTCATGTCATAGCCTTTTCAGATTTCAAGAATTTTTTTTTTAACTATTTCTAAGTGCCCATGGACATTTTTGATTTACCAATCATTGCTGAGGGCCTGGTGACTCAAGACACTGCTATAATCAGTCATATAAATAAATAAGGGGGGCCAGCCTGTGGCTCACTTGGGAGAGTGTGGTGCTGACACCAAGTCACGGGTTAAGATCGCCTTGCCGGTCATCTTTTTTAAAAATAAATAAATAAATAAATAAATAGAATAAATAAGGAGCAGAGAACTCACTGGAAATGCCAAGCACCATAACCCATAGAACTTCCCTGCCACCCTGGGGCATTAGTCCCTCTGGTCGGGTCAGCCCGGCCTAGGCTTGAGAGAGGCACAGAATACTGCTGTGTATTCTGACACTGTGAATAATGAAATCCCTTGTATGGCTGTGGGGGTGGGGGGCGGTCAAACTTGCTGAGCTTACTTATAGGAAGAAAGCTTGTGTGTGTGTGGGGGGGGGGGTTCTTCCTAAGAATAGTATCTGGCTTGTTCCTTTTCACAAAGGAAAATGTTTGAAATACAGATACTTCTAGCCTGAGCTTCTCAGTGCCAGTTGCTCATGGGGCAGTACTGTGCTGAGAAGCAGAGACAGGAAGCAGAGTCTCAGCTGGATAAGAAGCAGAACTCAGCACAATGGCCTCAGCCACTAACTGATGACATTCACTTTAGACCATCTGCAATTTTTTTTTTTTAAAGATGACCGGTAATGGGATCTTAACCCTTGTCTTGGTGTTGTCAGCACCACGCTCACCCAGTGAGCCAACCAGCCATCCCTATATGGGATCTGAACCCGGGGCCTTGGTGTCATCAGCACCGCACTCTCCCGAGTGCGCCACGGGCCGGCCCAGACCATCTGCAATTTTATGTTCCATTTGGGGACTTGGTTTTGCTTAAATGGACAAGGAGTCACCTGAGTTTTTCCCTTTGGGGTGTTTATATTTCCTAAAAATGCCTTTATTTTGGTATGTTAATCTTTCTCTTGATCCAGTTTTCCTTTTGCACACCAACAGTGTTCCAGAAGCTACAGTTTGTATTACATGTGTTATTTTGTTTGATCTTGTAAGTAACTACACAAAGTTTGGCATTATTATCCTCATTTCACGCACGAGGAAACTGAAGCTGAGAGAGGTGAAATATTTCCCTAGGGCTACACAGTCTTAAGTTAGAAATGATAGATTCAAATCCCAGTCAGTCTGACTCCCTGGTCCAGAAAGCATTCACCTCAAATCCAGAGTAGACAGCATCTGCAATAGCTCCTTACTATGTCCTTGCTTTCTGCATTAATTTGTTATTCTATTTATTCTGTAAAGTTCTCTATCCACAGAAACCCTACAGAGTTTAGAGGTTTATCAAGCTGACATTTTGAAAACATGCAAAGGACAAGTTTTCAGATGTCCCCTAGGGGTGTTAGGTCGTGAAGTGTGTCTATTTATAGAACACCATAATTAAGCAGAACTCACGGCCCATCCATATAAAGCAAGTGCATCATCATTTTAATCAAACTCAAGGTGTCATAAAGATGACACTTTTAATAATATCAAAAATAGATACTGTTACCAAAGAGCTCTTGAAATTTAATGATTTCCCTGCTTTTTCTGTTTATATTTTTTTCACAACTCTCTATTCCAAGAAACAGGAAACCTTTAGAGTGGGTTTTTGGTTAGCCTCAAAGATCACGTCTTATGATATCAGTAGACATCTTTCTTTCAAGACGACTCACACTCTGAGGTGCCAATCAAGGTTCATTTCATGGTTCTTTTTTTGGCAGCTGGCTGGTCCAGGGATTTCATGATTTTTTAGAGTAAGTTATTTTGGGAAAGGCCAAAGAAGCATTTGGAAAATATAATTTGGTTTTATTCAGGTATAACTAAAATAGCCAAATTAAAGAAATTAGACTCATACAAATCCCAAACAGTACTATTTATGGGATAAATGAGCAGAATGAACATGAGACAAGTTATCATACCCTGCTCTCCATAAACACGTTGCCCAAGAATGGAAAAGGTTCCTACCCATTTGGAAAGCCTCACTCAACAAAAAATGAGGCAGCATTTGAGGAAGGAACAAGTAAAAATGAGAAAGAAGAGGTCAGTGATTTTCAGCATTCATTATAGTTTTGTAGAATTTAGTTTCATCATCAAAACAGATTCTCTTCTGAGTCACATACAAAGTGCCTGGCTTCCCGCCCATTTGCGCTGTCGAACTCCTTCTGTGGAGAAGCTAGGCATTTTGTAGCTCACCAGATGGGTCCAGGCTAAGGTGTATGAGAATCATACAGTGAGTGGTGATAACCACTTTCATGTCTAGTCCACCGTGGGGCTTTAAAAATAGCTCAGGCCTGGCCATTTAGGTCACCTGGGAGAGCATGGTGCTGATAACACCAAGGTCGAGGGTTCGGATACTATACTGGCCAGCCACCAAAAAAAAAATTTTTTGTTGTTTAAAAATAGCTCAGTGGTCAGCCCAAGCTATTGTGTGTGTCAATGCTTCAGCCCATATATGGAAAGCTGTCTCTTTGACAGTTGCTGTCAAATGACTGTGGGCCCCCTTAAGTCACCTTTAAGGCTGTTCAGTATCACAAGTGCCACCAGTGCCTGTTTTGATCTGAACAGAATAACAAACCCCTGCTTAAGTAAAACAAAGCAGCTGCATTTCTCTGCGTGTCAAGGTCTCACACTCTATGACAACATGGGTTCACCTTTTGGGTCTCTGGTTTATTAGCTGAATTTTTTATGTCACCATAAACCCACTTTTAAAATGTGCTAATCCCCTGGTTTTA